CTCTTTCCTCACTTTGCACTTATTAAAATGTTCTTTTTAAAATTAATCCCTATTTTTTTTTCTTTTTTGCTAAATGTTCTTCTGCAATTTAATCTTCTTTTATGTAATACTTAAAATATTGTGTTTTGCTGAAATACCACTTTTGTTTGTCTTAACTATGCTCTACTCAAATATTTTATTTTTTATTTTTTTACGAAATTAAACTCTTAAGAAATAATATGTTAAAAAATATTTTAGAAGAAATTTTAGATCTTTGTATAAAAAAATGTAACGCATTGAATACACAAGTGCACAGGACGTGTTTTTAACTAGTAATATAATTAAGCATGAATTTGCATCACGGATCCGCGGTAAGCATTGCTTTCCATAGATCAATTTTTTTTTAAGAAGCAAATAGTTTAACATTTTCTTCCACTTTTAATTAATTTCAGAGCTTGGAAATGTAGCAACTAATAGCATTAACAGAAAAGGTAATAAATAGCATGTTCTGAAATAATTGTTACAAATTATTGGGGTATTTGATATGAGAATTCGTATCATGGTTCGAATTATGGTTCTTAGTTCGTTACAGTATTTTTTCTCACAAAAAACACACGTAAACCAAGAATGATTCTAAATCATGATTCTAAATCTATAAACCAAACATCCACTACATAATCCGAAAATAATCAAAGTAAATGTCAGGTTTTGTACTTTATTGAAGAAAAAAATTAAAAATTACAACAAAAGGAGACCAGATGCAGAATGTTTCGAGATATATATATATATATATATATATATTTGTAAAATATGCTATTAAATTCTATACTTGAAAATTTATACTATCGATTTTGATTCCCCTCATTAATGATTCTAAATCATGATTCTAAATCTATAAACCAAACATCCACTACATAATCCGAAAATAATCAAAGTAAATGTCAGGTTTTGTACTTTATTGAAGAAAAAAATTAAAAATTACAACAAAAGGAGACCAGATGCAGAATGTTTCGAGATATATATATATATATATATATATTTGTAAAATATGCTATTAAATTCTATACTTGAAAATTTATACTATCGATTTTGATTCCCCTCATTCTTCCTAACATGAACTTCCTCTTCCGGATTTAGATGATTAAGTTATTAGTACTGTCAGGGTCCGATAGATTCAGAGTGTCGACGTGTCATGATTGACACGCGTAAGTACGCGGTTTGTCAGAAGCGGATCCGACGTGGCCAAGCTTTAAAGTAGATGATGATGACAAGACCTCCGACAAAAAAATGGGGTCGGCTAGGCCGAAGAAAGCATGTCCTAGGACTCTCTTTGTTGTCGAAATGATGAAAATGCCTTATAAAATACGTTAAAGAATCCGCAAACACAAATGAAAGAACTCTGGAGATGAAGAATGGTGAGATGTGCAACCAAATAGTTGATAGAGATGGAGAAAAGGAGGCCGAAGGTGCCTTGATAGAGCAGTGCTCTAGAGACAAGAGCGGGCTACTTCAGAAGCGAAGATGGTGACTCAAGTAGTGGATAGGGCTTGTTGGAGAGTGAGAGTTGAGTTGGTGAGGTGGATAAGGTTCTGGTAAAAAGAACTCCAAAAGCAGTGCATGTTGCTCTGAGAGTGAAAACGACGCTCGGAGCACTTGCTCCAACGGTGAGCGGAAGTCACCTCAAAAATGAAAACTTAAACGTTGCCGAAAAATGTGTGAAGAAACTTCAAAGAACTTTGTGATAGTGGTGGAAATGGATCAAAAAGTGTTTTGAGAGAGTTTCTATGACTGTCAACACTTGGAAGCTTTGAAGAACTTTGAAGAACTTTGAAGAACTTTGAAGAACTTGAAGAACTTCAAGTCTCTGTAGCAAGAGACTAAAGAAGTCTAGAAGGAGTGATCTAAAGAGAATTATCTGAGAAAAATAGGAGAGCTTATGGAAGATGATAGAAGTCAAAAAGGGGGGCTCAAAGTTCTCGAGTCTTCAGGTCTTTCTCTCGACATCTGAAATGAGGAATATGAGGGTATCTATAGGTGAAGTTGGTAGGAATTTGGCGGCAGCTCCGGAGGTTCCTACAACATGCTCTGACGAACAGCACAAGCAATCCTGATGGAGCAAAGCCCTCTAGCACTTTTCCGGAGTTGAAGAGGAGATTAGCCGAAAATAGAATGAAAACTCATGGGAACTTACTCTAGGGGTGAATCGGCGGCGCCTTTAAGGAAGCATGCATACGCAATCTAAATGGAGCAAAGTCATCAAAAGCCTTTCCGGGGTTGAAAAAGAGTTGGTTCGAAAAAAGAAAGAAAGGTTCATGGTGGCTGCTCTAAAGTCCAATCGGCGGCGCTCTAACGAAGACCTACACACACAATTCCCTTTGGAGCAAAGCGATCAGATGACTTTCCGGATTGACAAAAAAAAAGACCCGAAAATAGAAAGACTTAGAGGCAAAGTTCTGGGTTTGAAGCCGATGTGAAGAGTTCCAAGGTCTGAAATTCTCAAGAGTGTTTGAATCAACTTCATGCTATGTTGACTCCCTCTTTCAGAGGTCTAATTACATGTCAAACCTTGTCAGAGATGGTCTACACGATATTGGCTGAGTAGTCATCAAGTTGGCTATAATACGAAAGTTGCTTCAAATGAAGCTGCTCCGACAGTGAGCATGCTCCAAACGAAGGCTGCTCCAAGTGAAGTTGCTCCGAAGGGTAAGCATGCTCCAGGCGAAGATTGCTCTGATGGTGAGTTGGGCGAAAAGAAGTCCAAAGGAATGACGTATGACACGAAAACAGCTCTGTTAGGCATACTTGGATGTGAAGAGGATGCTCCGGGAGACATGCCTATCACAGAGGTAGCCTCCATTAGGCATGTCTGGTGCGGGTAGAGCCTCCGTTTGAGTCTAAACACTGAGAATCAACCTTAATGAAGAGGAGGAAGTTTTATGGTGTGGACTTAGGAATTTTAGGCTTCCAAAAGGACGGGAGGAAGGCTTTTTAGAAATTCTTCATCACCCATTTGTATTTAATCCGATTACAACTAAAAACCCCCCAAAAGGGATTTAAATTTAATCGAATTAAACGACAAACGAGCCTACTTGACTACACATGATCCACCAAATCACAACCCACGGGTGTTTCCTGAGCATAACGTGGATCCACGAAGTAAGCCTAATAATGTCGTGTGATGCCATGATTAGGCATGGACCCTTAAATGGATCTGGTACAAAATCAGGTATCAACAAGTACCAACTGTGTGTGTTTCCATTCTCTTACGCCTTCAAAAGAAAAGGTTTAAAATTTTGTTTCATAGGAGTTCCTCAATCGTAAGGCGGGTTGTGAATTCATTAGAAAGCCTCGTAAAAGGTATTAAAGAGTATTCCAATCACATAGAACGAAAAAACATCTAAGGTATAATTATGTTATGTACAACGATTCTGATTAGATCTAATGATTTAAAATTAAATGTCTTTACGTATTTGTACAGAATAATTCTTCTAGTATGAAGAATCGAGTGGATCAACAGCTCAATCATATGCTTATTGACAGCAATCAGGTCAGGGTTGAAATGGACCTGACAGAGACGTAATACCGATAAGGAAGCGACTCTTGTGTTGCACAATATGTACATATTAGTTTTGGCGCAGATTGTAGAGCACAAGAGCAAAGTGGAGAATGTAAAGATGGCCCCCACGAATGTTGGAAAATGGGTATGCAAGAGGAAGAGGGTGTAAGAAAAGTAGGCGACATTAACAACAACCGTTTGCCTCCATCACGTGCATCACACTCGATGTACAATTCGCCATTGGTTTTTTTGTCATCAATCAGGCCTTGATTATTTCACCGATTTGAGTTTTTAATTTTAAATTTTTACAGTAAAAAGTTCTTAAAAAATGTCACATTTAACTTTTTCTGCTACAATAAAAAGCTTTTAGAAAATATTACATCTCAACTCGAATTGAAAATTCGAATCCGGAAAGTGAACGAGACTTTAATAATGTAAAGTAGCTAATTAATCCTAGACCATAGTCAATGTAGGCTGAGACGTAGCTTACAGTTTATTCAACAAAATTGTCGAGTTCGAGAGATATAAGTGATAACATCATTGGTATTCTATCCATTCAAAAGATAATGTCGTGTGAATATCTAAACTATACTAAAAAAATATAATTAAGTAAAGCAAATAAAATTAGAAACTTATTTATCATCAAATAAGAGGTCCACGTTGGCTAAACTCTCATTCAAAAAAGGCTTGCACTACAAAAAGAAAACCAAGAACAGTTTGGCTTGTGATTTGTAAGAGATGACTAGTAGTCGGGAAATAAATTTTGAACAAGAAAATTCAATGACGTGCCTCCGTGTGTTCAAGCAAGAAAATTTAAAGTTTTGATGTGAGATTTGCCACGTCCATATTCCGGTGCATGTATCACAATACAGGACAAAGGAAAGAGCACAAACAAGTTTCTTAACGGCGAAGAAGTTAATCAAAGTGATGAACATGAACAATCACTACACACTACTCTTTAGAATCTTTATAAATGTTCTTTTACTTTTGGCGTGGAATGCTTTTTCCCTTTTAGTGAAAACGAAACGACACTGATTAGAGCCTCAAGTTCTAGGAACGATCACCCTATGCCATAAATTAAAAGTGTAGGCAAGTGGGCCCTTCTTCCTTACCAAAATATTCTTGAGCATAAAACACATGATTGGCCAAAAATAGCAAATAAGCAATTGATTTTGTTAAACTTGTAATAATGAGTAATTTAGCATTGAGAATCCCTTTACTAGTTCCATTTCTCCAATCATGTAAGGCTTCACAAAATTTGCATTCTGATTTTGCAAATAAAAAACATGCGTTCTGATTTTTCAAGTTAAAAAACATTAATTAACTAGAAAAAGGGAAAAAGGGAATACCAATCGCATTTCCATTCCCCTTACCATTCATGATAAGCACCCTTGATTCAAATCTTACTTGGCAATACGTCTGTGTCTATACAAATATAAAGTCGGTAAAAGATCTCATCCCAGCTTTTCCAATTACTTGGCAAAGAAACACATAAATCCGTCATAATTCATAGCATATCTTATTTTCCATTAAGGTGAAGGATAATTGATACACTACATTTGCCATTTGTATAAATCATTGACCAGAGTTGCTAAAGAGACTACCAGGTGTAACATTGCTAACGTCTCATGCAACTAAAACTAACTCGCCAAAATGGTGGGTTCTTGCAGTTGATCCATGGAAAATGAGACTGGCTTCTACTAAAGAAAAGTGAGCTTCACTGTCTCAAATTTAGAACTCTAGAACTTGAAATCCTTCTTCTTGGATTTACCTTCCTTATCCTGCATTTTACGCTTCCTCTTTTTCTCGTTCTGCATAATAACATATTTAAATGGTTAAATGAATTATTAATAAACCGTGAGAAAGTTTGCACATATTTCTATTCCTCAAAACTATCTGTGTGTACATTAGTGAAAATATAGAAGTGGCATACCTCTGCAACCATATCACTAAAATCCTCCCGCTGACTCCGCTGCTTCTCTTCTTCCCTTGCTTCCTCGTATCTGCAAAATGCACCAATATGAGACTAACTGCCAGGGGCTAATAATAGCATTGTTTAGGGTTTTACTTACTTTGCAGGCAAAACATTTTCCATGACTTCCAATTCTTCGGGCTGCAGAGTGACATCCACTTTATCGGTTTTCTGACCCCTGAGCAGATCAACCTACAGCCAGAACATCCAATGAATAAACTAATGGTAGACAGAACTTAGTAACATATAAAATAAATAAGAGGAGTCCCTCTGGTTGTTTCCACCAGTTTTGTTCTCTAAAACACCTTCCACATAGTTGCAAAACAAAAGGATGATTGGGATTATAATAACTGCTCTATAGATGTTCTACAATGGATCCCAGTTGTAAAAGATTTAAATAAAAAAGAAAAAAAAAAAGAAGGGGGTTAAGTTGTTGGAAATCCACACAACACCAGAAAACATTCAAACAGAATAAGTAGCTCCTATAAGGCAGAATAACAAGTAACTTGCAACGAGCATGTCTCTTAAGTCTTAGCATAACATCAGAGGGGTAGTAACTGCAAACGTGCACTTAAAATGTTGGAAGCCATTAACAAAGATAACACAAGACAATGGCAACTTTACAAGACACGTGAAAGAAAGTCAGTTGCAGATGCACCCACATATCATACACAGAAAACAGAAGACAATGGCAACTTTACAAGACACGTGAAAGAAAGTCAGTTGCAGATGCACCCACATATCATACACGGAAAACAGAAGACAGCCTTGCTTACCCTTTTGGCACCCAACTTTTCTTGTGCGCCACTAGCAACCACATAACTGCAGGGAAAAAAAAAGGGCATATCCAAACACGTTTATCAATAATACCATCGGGGAAAAAAAAAAAAAAAAAAAAAAAAAAAAAACCATTCACGTACGTGTGGGTGGTTCCAAGTAACGTCCCTGGAGCAATTTTCTCCTCTTTTTCTTCAAGTACCTAAAAAACACGAGAGATAAGAGATCAAATTCAGTATTTTCAATACATGGTGAAGAGAGGAAACAAATTAACAAAAAAGCAATTTTTCCAATTGGCTAACAGCTAACTTACTTGATAAAGAGGCCTCTCAGGTTCTTTTCTCTGCTGCTTACGAAGGTCAATAACATCAGGTGTTTCAACGCCAGTAGGTGTGCTGAGAGGAAAAAAAAAATGGAATATTAGTATAGATGGACAAAACAGCGACCATGTACAGGCACAATAATAATCTTGGAAGGTGCAATTTTCCAGGGCACTTAAGGTTCAATTCCAAGAAGAATAATAACGAAACAACACAGATCACAAAATAATTCTGACACCTCGACAAGCTATCGACAGATTGAATGCCATCCTCTAATTCTTCTTCCTCAATTTGTTCCTCCTCTTCTTCTTCTTCCTCCTCCTCCTCCTCCTCTTCCTCCAAATCACCCCAATGCTTTGTCTTATCAACGGGCTCTTCCTAAACAATAAAGCAACTAATGATTAAGCAAACATAATATAAGATCTCCCAATAGCAAATCAATTAATAGAGTATTAACAAAAGCAAGTAGTTTCATTAGTTCAGCATCAAAATTTACACAAACGTCATTGGATTATGTTATAACTGCTGCAGCAATTTGAAAAAAGTTCTCTTTCAAATATTTATGAACTCAATCAGTGACACTCCAACAATCTTGTCAACATGAATTTGATGGTCTTATATCAGCCAACACAACCTCCTAATAGCAAGCTCATATGATTTTCAAACTACAATAACAAAACATATTTGATTATCTAATTATGCAAATAAGAAAGTACCTCATAATTTGGCTGCTCTTGTTGCTGAATACCAAAAACATCTCCGTACAGAGGTTGCCCATACTATCCAGAAAACACAAAACTTAAGAGACTTGTGGAATAAAAGAGAAAATTTGGAGGATACTCGTGTATATATGAAAAAAAAGGGGGAATACAGAAATGCTTGGCATATGAAAACTCACTTCATCAACAGGAGGTTTGCCCCAGCCGCCAGGATGGTAACCAAAGCTAGCTCCAGGAGGAATAGGAGCATTTAGCCCAGGAATCTTCAGATGTGGATACGATGGTGGCGGCCCATATCTCTGAGGTGGGAGAAACAGAATATCAAGCTGCATTTAAAAAATAAATAAAAAATAAAACAGAGGGAGAGAGAGAGTTCCAATCGCACCTGCATATTGATAAGCCATGGAGGAGGAGCACCATCTGGCATGCCAAGAGCCTCTTTCAGTTCTTGTGACAGCATACCTGGCTTCATTTCCCTCAATTTTACCTGTTATGTCAAAAAAGATAACATAAATCAGGTACATCACTATAATCCTAGCTAGTTTGCTCTAAACATTCAGAAAAAACTTCACTGCTTTCATCACATGTGAAAAACCAAAAATTTGATACTTTGGTCAAAGTCAACCACTTTCATTGGGACTCGTATCAAGAAAGCATACAACATACAAACCTCAAGAGACAAAATAAAGGTACCATCTAACAGGATAATATAAAATTTCTATGCTATCAGGTCCATGAGGTTTTCACTCACTTGAACCTAGATGCTCTGACATAGAAAGGATACATATGGTAAGAACATGAAAACACATCTCAATGCAAGTAAGATACCTCAAACTCCTTCCCTTCATGATACAAATCACCGAGAGATGTCAGCTTTGGCTTAGTCTGGTATTTGAAAAATGCATCATGGAGAACCTACATAAACAAGATCAGAAGTTTTATCATTAAACAAGGAACTATAATGTAAAATACATGTTTAATCATGAAGAAGACCATACAATCATAAAATATCAGTTAATATAAACCTGATAATCGATATCCATTTTTCCCATCTTTGGCTGCATACGTTCTCGTTGCTTTTGCTTCAGCTTCTTACTATCTTCTTTTTCAATGTAAGCCTACACAGAAAATCACACAGATGCCACAGAAGATATAAGTGGACTCTTTCCAACTGACATAATGGAAATCGAATTGAACAACCCAAGAAGATGAAGAAAATTTATTATTGCAAACAATAGGCCTAGACCAAATGGAGAATCACAGTGCGGCTCATCATTCACAGTTTACACCATAAATTTTAAAGGGTACAACTTCCACTCATCCAGTGTAATTCCATAAAGGGTGTCAATGGATTGGCATCTACCATTACTTCTAGCTTTTTATATCTCAAAATATAAGAGTTAGATTTAAAACTTATAAAAAATCTTACAAGAAAAGAAGTAGAGGATAGTTTGCATGTACACAAATAAAAACAATTTACTTTTTCAATCGTAGACTAAACATAGATGAAGATTGGCTGACAAAGCACTCAATTTAATCTAATAAACTAATAAAAATTTACCTGTCTAATTTTCTCAATTCCAGTGGCAGCAATGAAATCAGGTAGTTGAAAAGGTTGCTTCTCAATACCACGCTTTCCCTGCAAGATGAATTGAATGCCCCATGAGATACAAAGTTTTTCAATTATACCCTTAAGAAAGATCTTGTATCAAAACCATTTCAATCATAAAAATATTATTAAAAAAAAAATAAAAAATTATAGATGAATCCATCCCGAGCACTAGGCAGAATAGAAAGGCATCTGAAATTCAAAGCACATAAATCAGCACCTCAAGAGTAAATAATTCACAAATCTAAGATGCAAATATGATCATGCGTTAAAAATCCCCCATTAAAAATAAACACCACCCACTCTAGCATATATCTTAAACACAAATAATAATTCAAGGGTGCCCTTAGCCAACACCTACTAGTCCAGGCTCCAAGTTTCCGACCGCCGCACTCCTGCAAGAATGACATATATACATATAAGAGAAACCTTATTTGCTGTGATCTTACCTAAATCTAATCCCTGTACCCATCAATCATGCATATTGCATGCACATCTCAAACAATAGTGTGAGAACTTGAGGGATTGCTCACCTGCAAAAATTTCCGTTTTTGACACCAATGCCTTGGCACAGGTACAGTATTCCGGTAAGACTTCAGAAAAACCAACAACTTAGGATCTGCTGATGTTGCGTCCCAAACCTGAAAATGGATAAACACAGCACACGACCAGGGAATGAGGTCAAAACAAAAGCAGAAGTAGAAACCAGAAAGCAAGCCCTGAAAGCTAAATTAGAGAGCAAGAGAGAGCGGGCAAGCATTTTCAACAGATATATCCATACCTCAACAACATCAGGCCTGGAGCAGATCTGTTTCAGTTCAGCAATCTTCATCCTCCGTTGAAGCTGAAAGGTATAAAAAGTGCTTTCGTCAGCTTCACAACATAAGTGGTTATAATGAATTTTTCATTATTAATGGAAATTGGTCACTAAACCTTTTTTTTCTTATTTGACAAGCCTTTCTCTTTTTGTTGGTCATCTTGTTCGTCCTCTTCTGAGTCTGAGTCTGAGTCAGCCTTCTTATTTGCAGTTGTGTTCTCAGCAGACTCATCTTTCTTGTCCTCCTTAGAGCAAGGAAGAAATGCCTCAGTAATATTCTTCACAACAAAATGAATATCAAAGGGAAAGTATCATTCTAAAGACTATAACATAATTACTTCATACCTCAGCACCAGCAGAATCCTGGAAACTGAATTTTTCAAATATTTTTCTAAATTCCTCATCCATACCATCTTCTAACTCTGCTTTCTCAGGGACATACTCTACTTCAACTTGATCCACAATCTGAAAATTGTTGAAATAAAAATAAGTTTATCATAATATGCCTATTGATTAGAACTGGCAAATTACTAGGGTGATAAAACACCTAAACAAATCTATTTACATATCCACCTAGACAGTAAAATTTATCTGAAAAGAAAATGCTAATTTCATACCATTTCTAAAATAAACTTTACAGGGAAAAAGCAATCAACATTGTCTTAATTCATTCTATGATCCGTCAAGAAAGATAACGACAAAAAATTTCATTTCTTATGATTATTAGATTCAATTTTAAAAGTAAACAGAAATGTGATCAGTGACTCAACTATTGAAGAAATAACAAAGAGATCAAGAAGAAGCATAGAAAAGACACGCAAGCATGATATACAAGAGAATGTTAGATCAAAATACGCGCTTAATCTCTCAATCTACCCTTTCTTTTTCTCCCCCAGTTCCCATTTCAAATAATAGCGGAGAATGGCAAATTCCACAAACTTTCAGCTTCATTTTTCTTCTCTCCCTACATTTCTTCTTCTTCTTCTTCTTCTTTTTTCATTCCCTGTATCACTAAACAACAAGCTAATCTACTGTTTAACCAAAATCATCCTCTGAAAGCTCGTCATGGAAAAACCCTAGCTCTTCAAGACACTTTCTCTACTTCTCTAGTTCTTCCATAATCTATTTAGTTGAGTTCTTCTGATTTCAACACAAACAAACAAACTCAAAGATGAAAATCCTCAGCTCATCAAAATAAGCCATAGGGTGCAAACCCTAATTCCGTCGATCCAGCTAAAAATGCACCGCCAAAAGAACTCAGATTCCATCTCCAACCTAAATCTCGAAACGACACTCCTAATTCCAGTAAACCGATAAAAAAAAAACCCTAGAAATCAACTTCTCACCGCCATTAAACAGAAGTCTTGAAACAACGAAAAGAAAAGGCAACAAGGTGACATCTATACAGAACCTGTTGGGGATTGACGTGCTCCTTCGCGTCATCATCGGCGGCGTCGCTCTCGTCGCCGGAGGCGGCGGAATCGGGCGCCTTGGAGGGCTTGTTCTTCTTCTGCTTCCGCCTCCGACGACGGCGCTCGCTCTCCCGCGACTTCTTGGTGGCGTTGGAGCTAGGGTTAACATCGAGGTCGCCGTTCGGAACGACGCCGTTTGGGTGCGGAAGCGTCTCCGCCGTCATGTTTGGAAAGGGCTGAACTCCGATCCAAAGAAAGCCTCCGAGTGAGAGTGGAAGTTGAAGACGAACGAACAGCGCCCGTGGACACAGAGGGGAAAGATTTTGCCAAGGATAATGGCAGTTTGTTTATATATAAATCGGAACTCATCCGCCGCGTGTAAAGTCACTGGCACGTGAGAACTGAGGACCTATATCTATATCTGTGCGTTTGGTTCGTATATTCATATCATAGTTTGGATTATAATTCGTAATTCGTTACAGTATTTTTTTTTATAAAAAATACACATAAATCGAGAATCATTCTGAATCAAGATTTTAGTCATGTCATGTTGTGGTTAGCAAATTGTTCCCCAATTTTTTATTTTAACAATTAACATAAATTTATTTTGGGTGGCCCCGTTCACTTCGCTGATTCGAGTTTAGAATTCGAGTTGAGATGTGATTTTATATGAGAGCTTTTTACTGTAGCAAAAAAGTTAGATGTGATTGTTTGTGAGAGCTTTTTACTGTAAAAAAACTCGAATCAGCGAAGTGAACAGGGCCTTAGGTTGTTGTGTTTTTAAAATAATTGTTATACTTTTAATAAAAACATTATTTTTATTTAAAGTAAAAGTAAAAACATAAATAAAATCTAAAAATTACACGTATTAATTTCTCAAAATAACTTAAAAAGTGAACTGATTTGTGTACAAAGTAGTTTTGTACACTTTTATTGAACAAAATTTTTTTTGAGAGTTTCAAAAATAATTTTAAACACACTCTTTAACTGTTACAATTAAGTACATTTGATTAACGTCTGTTATAAAACTGACAAAAAGCAGCATGATACATGCACATGTCACAAATTTAAAGGATATTACTGGTATTTTATGTCATTGGCGCGTGTGAAGTCACTAGCACGTGATAACTGACAACAATTTTTTTCACTCACATAAACTGAGAACCGACGGGGGCCGCACAAGCGATGGAGCATGTGGTTTAATTCGATGCAAAGCGAAGAACCTTACCAGGGCTTGACATGCTGCGAATCCTCTTGAAAGAGAGGGGTGCCTGCGGGAATGCGGACACAGGTGGTGCATGGTTGTCGTCAGCTCGTGCCGTAAGGTGTTGGGTTAAGTCCTGCAATGAGCGCAACCCTTGTGTTTAGTTGCCACCGTTGAGTTTGGAACCTTGAGCAGACTGCCGGTGATAAGCCGGAGGAAGGTGAGGATGACGTCAAGTCATCATGCCCCTTATGCTCTGGGCGACACACGTGCTACAATGGTCGGGACAAAGGGTCGCGATCCCGCGAGGGTGAGCTAACTCCAAAAACCCGTCCTCAGTTCGGATTGTAGGCTGCAACTCGCCTACATGAAGCCGGAATCACTGAGTTAGACAAAAAGAGAAGAAACTTGGACAAAAAAAGAAGCAACTTGGACAATCCACCATGCACGGGTTCAATTCCCGTCGTTCGCCCATACCCATTAAATTAAAATTTTAATAAATTACTCCTATTTTTCATTTTTTTTAAGACGAAGAAACAAATTCTATTTTCTCTCCTATTTACTACGGCGACGAAGAATCAAATTATCACTATATTTATTCCTTTTTCGACTTCTTCTTCCAAGTGCAGGATAACCCCAATGGGTTGCGGGTTTTTTTCTACCAATTGGGGCCCTCCCTATATTCTCATCCAATTAATCAATTCTTCAAAAGATCTATCAGATTTTGATGGAGTAACTGATTTGATCAATGAATATTTGATTCTTTTTTCAACTTATAATTGATTCACAACAATTCTTTCATTTTTCATGAAAATTATTTTTCCTTGACTTTGTCCGTGTCAACAAACAATTCGAAATGCCTCGACTTTTTTAGAACAGGTCTGAGTCAAATAGCAATGATTCGAAGCACTTCTTTTTACACTATTTCGGAAACCCAAGGACTCAATCGTATGGATATGGAAAATACAAGATTTCTAATCCTAGCAGGAAAAGGAGGGAAACGGATACTCAATTTAAAGTGAGTAAACAGAATTCCATACTCGATCTCATAGATACATATAGAATTCTGTGGAAAGCCGTATTCGATGAAAGTCGTATGTACGGCTTGGAGGGAGATCTTTCATATTTTTCGAGATCCACCCTACAATATAGGGTCAAAAAGCCAAGAATGCTTTCTTATTCTTAGCAAAATAAAAGGGAAAAAACTATAACTCAAGAATTCTCTTTCTCTTTCGGACGATAATAAAAAGTCATAGCAAACCCTGTAGCTACTTGTACTAAAAAACAAGTAAGCGTAATTCCTCCTAGACAATAAAATATGTTGACATGAGGAGGAACATATTTACTAGTTATATCATCCACAATTGCCTGAATCTCAAGATAAGATAAAATTGACCCGATCTTTAGATTTATTTAAGGTCTTCAAGGAGCCGTATGTGGTGAAAATCTCATGTACGGTTCTGGAATAGCGACGATAGCAGTGATGGTATCGCAGACTATGATTATCTAATAGTTCAAGTACAGTTGATATAGTTGAGGCTCCACTTGGCTCGGGGGGATATAGCTCAGTTGGTAGAGCTCCGCTCTTGCAATTGGGTCGTTGCGATTACGGGTTGGGTGTCTAATTGTCCAGGCGGTAATGATAGTATCTTGTACCTGAACTGGTGGCTCACTTTTTCTAAGTAATGGGGAAGAGAACCGAAACATGCCACTGAAAAACTCTATTGAGACAAAGATGGGCTGTCAAGAACGTAGAGGAGGTAGGATGGGCAGTTGGTCAGATCTAGTATGGATCGTACATGGACGGTAGTTGGAGTCGGCGGCTCTCCTAGGGTTCCCTCATCTGGGATCCCTGGGGAAGAGGATCAAGTTGGCCTGTATATAAGATATTAAAGACTATTTCCTGATGAAAGTGTTAATGCCAATTTATATATGGTATTTCAAAAATGTTATATCAATTTTTTGTCATAATTATTAAGTTTTAAACTTGTAAAAATAATTTTAAAAAATTTAAAAATGACAATGTTCTAATAATTAAATAAAAAGGGAATAAATCAATTAATAGTAACTAAATGAGAAAATTTAATATATATTATAGTCGTAAATAAATTTAACATCAAATATATCTCATCTCAAATTAAATATAAAAAGTAACGTTACATTAAATAAATTTTTAACTCAAATACTAAAATTTACCACGAAATTGCTAATTTAGCATTGTATATGCTCTAATAAACTCGGCATTGTAACATTAGTTTTATTGATTATAGTTTGGGTTGTGTTGGGATATAATCCTTCATTTTTGTTAAAAAGACGTATAGCTTCATTTTGTAATTTTAACGCTAGGTTAACAAATATATTTTATTTTCTCACGACGACAATAATGTTAGAAATTTAAGGTTCAAAAGTCTATTGTTAAATTTTCGTAGTCGTAAGAATTTTTTGTTATTATTTTAAGTATTCTATCATAAAATGACATCATAAATTCATCCCCTTACCGTGGAACAATCTTATTAATAGTTAGGAGTTGTTTAATACATGTATTTAAACTTAAATTATGATTCTGTTAGAGTGTTTTTTTTTTTATAAATAATTTAAATTACAAAAATTCTCCCTCATAATTTTCTCACAAAGAATTTGAATCAAAACTTAAATCATAATTCAAATACACTTTCCAAACGAACTATTAAGGTTTTAAATTCAAATTTTGTTTTAATCCTTTAATTTTTGCTAATAAATTTCATTATTACGATAAATTTGTCATTTTACACCATTTTATAAGTCCTCATTCCACGTATAGAAACGTATCAATAAACGACAAAAATGTCTATATAACACTACATTCAAAAAAAAAAAAAAAAAAAAGTCCACAACATGACATTCATTGAAAAAGTCCCTGGGCCCCACTTTGTTTGGTTGTCTGTTCACTTCGGATCTGAGAAAGTTCAAAGGAATTTCATGTCCCTCTGAAGAGCAAGACAGAGATGGCATTTGCGGGTGGTGAAGAAAATGGCAATAGGAGTGGGATTGGGGTGTCAAATTTCATGTTTAATTTTCATCCGAGCAGTAAAAACAAGTATAAGAGGATGGATTCTGATGCCGCAAAGGAAGCTCTTCCCTCAAACGACAGGAATCATGATAATACCAGGAAATTCGTTTTTATCTGCGCCATCTTTGCCTCCCTCAATTCTGTACTTTTGGGATACGGTTAGTTTTTCAATGGCTTCTTGTTAAATTTCTATTTAGTCTCCACTACGGTGGTTTTTTTTTTTTTTTTTTTTTTTTTTTTTTTTGGCTCGTTCCTCAATTTTTGTGTTGTCCAATGTGATACCTGAATCTTGGTAAATTTAGATACAAGCAAAAATGCAAGCTGTTCGAGGATACAGAACAATTTTGTTTTGCAATTTTTTTTTAGTTGCCAAACGTCCATTTTTTAACAGATTTTATGAAGAACATTTCGCTATCTTATTGGATCACAAAGTTCATATCTATTGTTTCATTTTATTGTTCTATTGGCTGTCCCTCAATATTATTTTGACAACTCATTTAATCGCTTAATCAGTTTATTATTTAGCATTTGTTATGTGGGCAAATTCTTAAATTTTAGTTGATATGGCAAAATGGTATTGAGAGACATGGGACAAGAAATTCTTAATTAGCCCATGTAAGTCTTACCAGTTTTTCGCGTTTGCCCTTTAGTGAAACTGGTTATTTTGAGATAGTGGAATTTACCTTGGTCCCCTGGTTTAGAAATTTTATACTTTTTGGTGGGCAGATGTGGGTGTTATTTATGAGTGGTGCAATTTTATTCATTCAGGAGGATCTAAAGATATCAGAGGTACAAGAAGAGATTCTTGTTGGAATTCTGAGCATAATCTCTCTATTAGGCAGTTTAGCAGGAGGAAAGACATCAGATGCTATTGGCAGAAAATTGACAATTGCATTTGCAGCGATTGTTTTCCAGACAGGAGCTGGCATAATGGCACTTTCTCCGTCTTTCGGGGTTTTGATGATCGGCAGGCTATTGGCTGGTATCGGAATAGGATTTGGGGTCATGATTGCACCGGTTTACATCGCCGAGATAGCGCCCGCGGTGGC